TTGTCAACAGTTTGTTCAACAGTGCAATGTTTGTAGGCACAAATGATGTGCGAGCATGGTTGATTTGGAGTAGCACCACCCTCTACCATCCTCCTGATAGGAACTGCTCTTATACACTAAATAGGAGATGTGAAACCTCTCCACTAATCGCCTGCCCTTTCCTCACCACTCGGGACTCGCAGGTCATTTTAATGCAGTCTTACTGCTCTTGCACTGAGTGATTTAAGGGCGATGAGGGGCACGCCATCTATTTTGTTAGCAAAATTACCAAAGTGAATCCCTCTTCTTAATCTACCATCTCTCTCCATATCCTCTGAGGTCACTAATAAGCAGACCACAGTCCTGCTTCAAACCCAGACCCCATCCCATCTGAGCCCAGACCTATAACCAACCTATTGCATGCCTTATAAATAACTTCACAAGATGCTACTCAGCTTATAAAGTAATTTCAGAAACAGAGTTTTAATCAAGAATGGACAGACTCTTAGCAAAATGACCAAATTGCATCCCCCGTGTCAACCTGCCATCTCCCTTCTCCATCTCCTAGTAGCAGAGAGTGGAGGGACTGAGGGGATGTTTAGTTGAATATGTTAGTCTAGTCTGCCTGAATCACTGATCCTTTGTGCAAGTTAGAAACTGTGGCCCTGACCATGGCCCTGAAATACCTGTAGCCTGACTGTGCTGTGTATTGACAAATCCATGGTGCTGTCTATGGTGCTGAAGCAGTAATTAGAGTCCCACCCTTCTGTCAGCTCTGTCCATCATATTCTCTAAACTATGTTTACATCATCCTTTGAATGAAAATCCAGAGGAATTAATAAACCACATGATACCGTAAATATAAATTTGCAGTACTGAATGCTTCATCTTGATTTCATTTCCCCTTGAGATTATGAGGAAATGACCAAGGGGATGAGTTATAAGATAAAAGGCGTAGGCCAGATGAGTGTACTGTCAATCACAGTGAGATGGATGGCAATTACAGCAGTTCACTGTACAAAGCCTTCAGTAGAATCTGCAGTAGAAGAGTATCTGTGCTATTTTATTCAATTGAATCAGCTTTTGTAGCTCAGAAATCTCACCACTTACCTTAGAATATGGATATTTCTAAAGATACTTTGAATGTATTTGTACTTTTATTCCGTGCGTAACTTGTACATTGTATTTTGTAAAAGGTCATTCTCTTCAAACTCTCTTTCCAAGGAAAATCTATTCTCAGTTTCACAGGAGCCGAAGATGATATTTTATCGCTATCAGAAACAGATACAACACACATTTGAATTCAAGCTGCAAAACTGTCCTCTTTGACCAATCACACAGCTCCCAGGTTATGGCAGTGATAACTGCAGTCAATTTGCGTGATAAATGGCCCATCATTCAAACCCATTAATGTCTTCCGTAATGTGGCTGGCAGGTGTGTCAACAGGAACCCTGTATGGACAAGATTTTTTTTGCTCCTCATTATTTTCTCACTTACTCCCCAGTAAAGTGAGGCTAGTTAGAGATGACTTGATTCCGCATGTATTTTGGCTCAGCAGGTAGGCGTATTGTGACCATGACATTCGAAGATTTACAGCATTCAGCCATCTCATTACCTGGCTATGTCTGACAGCTGTCACTGCACACACACGCTCTCAAGACATTCATATGTAAGTATAGCCAAAGGGCGAGTGTACAGGATGACTGTGTTTCCTCCAACACCGGGCTGTGTGTGTGACTGGCAGATGTGTGCATTGTGTTCCTCAGCCAAGTCAAATGGGTGAGTGGCTGACAGTTGTTGAATGGGGTTAAATAATGTGTGCTTGCATGTGGATGTACCTTTGGCTGGGAACCTGCCGGATCTGTGAGCTCATGTTTCATTTGCTCTGGCAGATGCATCTGGTCCCCCTCCACTTGGGGCAGATTCCCAGTTGGCCCAAGACATGCTTGGTCAATCACAACCGCTTATCTATGGGGCATGTTTGAGACAAAATTTACTAAGAGTTTAATAAACCAGCTCATCTTTGCACACTGGAGTCTTCTTACATTTTTCCATCACTCAGGTGTTATTGCTTTCACCACTCCTGCCCTAATTTGCTATGACTGGTCACCTACATTAGGCAGACCTAGTCAGTAGCCACTGAGCCCTAGTACCACACATCATATGTTGATAACCTGTTGATAACACCCCTTGGAAACTGAAATAAGAGTTGAGACCTTCTAGACTAATTTGCATTTGCGCTTTGGTCTGGTGATGTCATGCTAGATGTACCCAACCCCTGGCTAAGTGTACCTTACTTCTAGGTCAGTGAAGAGCAGAGGGATAGACTGTCACTGTACTGCTACCAACAGCATGCCAGCAACACAGGTATATTTAAAATATCTGTAAAATATACCAAATGTTAAAAATGTAGTGTAACAGAAACAGGTGACCACTGAATGAATAAAACCCATGAAAATACTGTAACAATGGGACTTTGACAAAAAAAAGTATCTCAAGGTCTACTTACTGCATTTGTTCTAGAGCTTTTAGCCACATCACATAGCCTTCATCAGTGGACTGCTTTTGCTCAGATCTCAGGGGCTAGATGAAAAGTCCAGGGATCATCAAAGGCATTAGGATTCAACATCTGGTATTCATCCAGTTGTTATCCCTTGAGCCACACCACTGGCATGGCAAAATACATACTGTTTAACTAAGATAAAAAAAAAAATCTCTTTACAAATTTGTAGTTCTACTGTCCTGACTCCAGAGAGAAAAGAGACAGAATGCTGATAAGTGGATGTGTCAGGTGGTTTTAATCTGCTGCTGCATTCAGTGAATAAATCCACAAAGTCCACTTGCAGCAGGTGTCCTTCATCCTCCTTAATCCGCATCTTTAGGGACTGTTGGTCAAACAGGTTGAAGATGAGTCATTTAAAACTATTTTCTGATATTATGTCAACCAAATGATGAATGGAGAAAAAAGATGGCACATTAAATGGTAATTAAAATTTATTTGTAGTTCTAAAATAGTTTTATCTTACTGAAACTTTTATCTTGCAATGCTGATAGTCAACTGTTAGTGAAAGGGCCACACAATGAACCAAACAAGACGCATTAGTTTTATTTATATTCTCTTTAATATATCTTAAAAAATGGATATACAATCTGAGAAAGAAAAGTTGAGGATTTGAAGAAGAACAGGTTGTTAATCTTCTCCCCTGGCCCAAAGATGGAGTTAGCCCAAGCAGAGACATTTCCCAAAAGGATCCTGGGAAAAAAAAACCCCAAAAAAACCCCATAACACTGCTAACTGCCAAACTAAAGGACATATGACAAGTCAGAGTATTAGTAAGGCTAGATTAAGTACAGCGTATTGGGCTGCCATATCCTGGAGGCAACTACTACCATGACACTTAATCGTCATGGCGATTACACAGGATGGCTTCATAGTAACAGGCAGTTACATTGGCCTTCACGGTTCAAGTGGACCAACACCATGCTGGAAAATACCACGGAACGCCCACGTTCACATTTCCTTTAAATGGACCTGGTATCTGTCATATTCTCAGGTCCTTTATTTTAGCAGAAGCCAGTGTCGTCTGTTGTTCTGTTTACTTTCACTTAGAAAATGATGATTATTTGAGCTGTTAAACCCTGGGCCAGAAAAACAAAACTAAACCCAAACAAAAAACAAACAAAAAAAGAGGAGCAGTGGAACCAGAGCATGCTAACAGGTCACATCATTTCAACATGTCATACTTAAACTGCTCACACACATACGCTCACACACACACACACACACACGGTCAACACGCACATAATTTCGATCTTTACACACAAACACACACGCACACACACCTCAGACATAAAATTTCAATCTTCAACTACATGTCTGACATCCTTAGTAAATGCACCACTGGCAGATTACACAGACTTTGCCTCATGCAGATGTGTGAACACAAACACAAAGCTGAATGGAGTGAGAACAGTGTTGGCGTTCAGAGATACAACTCAAACTGGAGGCACAATGCTAGCCAGGGCCGAGCAAAACACGCGCACACACACACACACACACACACACACACACACACGCACACTAACATACGCAGACCACACCCTCACTGGCTAACTGAGTGACAGCCTCTCTTTCATTTTCACACACAAAATGAACATGCACTTTATGGCCAAAATCCACAACGGCAGTGGAATAGCAGCACCTACACAACTTCACTAGCAAACTAACAAGCTGCCGAGTGAGCTAATAAGCATGCTAGCAAGTGAGCTAATCCACCAGTAAGCATGCCAACTAGTGTGAGCAGCTTATTTCAGTCCTCTGAACCTGTCCAGTGTGCAAGAAGTGCAACACCTCCAGCGTTTTCATACGTGATGAAAACAAGGAGTCCCTTGCACCAACTGAAAGCCACCCACTCATTGGCTGCCTAGCTAGCTAGTAAGATCACTCACTAGCGTGTTACCTGCTGCTAGCCCGCCCTCTAGCTAGTTAGCTTGCCACCTAACTGCCTTTATGCAAACATATCCAGACAGTGAAAACATACAGGCCATGCACACAAAGAGAAAGAGACAATGGAGTTCTTTCCTTCCAGAAAGACACACTTTGCATGTTAGCCTGGGAAATCTCCCACAGCAACCACAATGACAAGGTGCGTACCGTGCCGTCACAAAGTCTTGGGACAGTGAAATGGATTTTTTTTCTGTAGCCTACTGCAGCACAATGACAATGATATGAAACAAGAACTGAAGTTAAAGTGCTGACTTTTAGCTGCAGGAGTGTTTTAAGGTGTTCACATCCATGATGGGTAAACAGTGTAGGACAGTGATACTCAACTTACAGCCCTTGGGCCAAATCTGGCCCTTAACTGGGTGCCAGGTGGACCGCCAACCATTTTCGAATTCACATTGATAATAAATTGATTAAAATTGGGATATTTTTTTACTTTAAACGTAAATAAGATACCAGACTGCATAAGAAAAGCATCAATATATATATATATATATATTTTTATATATATTTTTTTTTTTTTTTTTAAAGTGCATCTGCCAACAGAGGTCTGGGAGAATTCCCCACTGTCCTCAAATCCTAGAAAGACCCCTATGCACACCTAATCTATGCGGGGATGCTGTGACTGAATTTATTTGCCTCATTCATTCATTTCATCTGAGAAATAATAGTAATTTTTGTTCATTAACTGGCCCCTGAGCTCCTCTCATTTGCAAATTTGGCCCCCAGGCAAAGCAAGTTGCGTATCCCTGGTGTAGGATCTGTTACATGTAAGGATTTTTTATGACCAACACTGACATATTTCTGTTGGCTTGTTAGCAGCTGCTTATTTACACCATCCAGTAGTTACAGAGTAACGTTATTATTTATTTCGAGTCCTGTTTCTGGCCACCTGGTAAACATATGTGCAACATTAATTCTTGCTTAGCTGCTTTTGGTTTATTCCACTCCTGATGGAAATATCTAACTCTTTAGCTGCTAAATGCTCTGCTGTTTTCATCAGCTAGCTGCAAACTGTGTCATCAGCTAGCTGCAAACTGTGACTGCCAGCTGTTCGGTCTGCTGCATGCAAAAACAACACAGTTAAATAATGAAGTGAACCAAAACAGTTAAACCGTTGGCTGGACAGCAAAACGAACGAAAACTATTCTCTACAAAGCTGCGGGGAGCTGCAGATGATAAATCTCATCACGACTAGCTATAATTCCTACACCGTTTATCTCTCATGAAATTAAATTTGAATCAGTCCTTTAAACTTGTAGTCACTGTTTCATTTCAAACCTACAGAGAGCGAGCACACACAAATGTCACTGTCACAGTACTTAATGACTGCACTGTAAGTATGAATCAACCTCTCCATCCTCATTGAAAACGTACATGTGGTCGACTGTGTGTCTGTGTGTGTGAAACAAGAGACGGATGGAGGAAAAACAAAAAAGGACAGTGAGGAGAGGAGGACTTGGAGCACAGAGGAGGTGACACTGAAAACAGTACAATACATTTGGCTGCGGTTTTAGTAGTCGCACTTTATCCCTCTGGAGCTGAAAACGCACAGAGGGTCTGGATCTAAGTGTGTGTGTGTGTGTGTGTGCACATGCAAGAAGAATGACAACAGAACGGGACAATGTGGTCATTCACATGCTGTCTAGTGGGGCTGGGGGCTTTCCAACTTGTGTGTGAGTAATAGACAAGTGTACGGTGTGTATGTTTACCTTTCACTACAGGATGTGACACTGTGTTTGTGTGTGTGGGTGTGTGTGTGTTTGTGAACTCACATGCATATTCTCCTTAGCGACACAAACATAGCAGGCACTGGAACAGAGAACTGATAGCAACAGATATTCTTTCTCTTGATTCGTCAACATTTTAACAGCTGAACATGTCTTCCTTCTATTTATTTATTTTTTTTGTGCCGGTGAATCATCACATCGAACCCTTTGCCAGTCGTTGCCATGGCTCAATTCCGACAGGCTCAGGGACAGCTCACGGAGGCTGCGTCACACAGTAACCTTGTCACAATGAACAGACATGGCGGTCATTGTAACACTCAATCGATTAGGATAATTAAAGCATATTTTTTTTTGAATGCAAGTCTTTCTTTAAATGCATCATTTTTTTTTCTTTTTTAATTTCGTTCCCGCAATGTGGAGTTTATTGCAATCAGGTGAACAGCAGGGCATGGGTGGGGCTGTGAAGGAGAGTGGTAAGAGTCAAAGAGTCAGCTGTTGATTCACACACGTGGGGGGACGTTGGCCAAGATAAGCAGAGGCAAGGTAGAGCAGTTTGGTTGGTTGGTGCAGGCTAATGCAGGTCGCCGATGCTTCTATCATCTGGCATAGTGCTTGATGTAATCTTGAACCTTATTCCGAAAATCCTCCTGCATTGGAGACAGGGAAAGGTAGAGAAAGTATGTGCGTTAGGGGGACAAGTCCGAACATTAAACATTTGTGAAGGACAAGCAGTTGTAAGAACATTAGGAGTGACAAACTAATGTGATCCTCCATGTGTAAAAGACAATAAATACAGAGCACATCAACATAGACTTAACCAAATATACTGTGTGGGGATGTCAACAGTTAACCATTAGCCAGGTAAACACTGTAAATTTTTGACTGTTTATGCATTTGGTTTATAGGTTCATTTGCACACACACATACTCCACTAATGGCTTGAGAGGGCGCAGCTGCAGCAGCACCTTGATGCAACTTCTGGGAGGGGACTACCATTTGCACGCTCTCACTGATAGACGCAAAAACACACACAGTGTGTGCAGAAAAAATACAGAACATTATTCAACATTAGACACTGACTGACCCTGTCAGCATGTCTGGGGATTTAAATAATGAAGTTAAGCTGCTATGTCTTGTGTGTAAATGTGCACAGCGTCTCACTTAATGGGGAGATGCACTTATCATTTCTGCTGCAATGGGATCACTGCAGCGGATATAACTGCAATCTGCACATTCCTAATACAATATACAGTATGATATAAAGCTCACTTATTGGCTCCTCTGTGCTCTCTGCGTACTTAGGCACAATAAAAGGAGAGAAGTTAAATAAGTTCAAGTCTGACCCAAGCCTGGCCCAAAGTGACTCAGCTTGCCAGGGCTCGTCTGCCTTTCAGAGATCTGTACCACAACCCAGCACATAAGGAGGCAGAGGTGGAGAGTGAGTAGGACAGCACTCAGTAGGGAGATCTTTCCATCTGTGACAACACAGTCTCTTTTCAGAGATGACCTTATCAAACTGCTGCAATAAACTTTAGCAAAGCCAACAGAAAATAAAAGACAAGACGATAACAACATAAAAGATTCAAATTTTAAACCATCTAAATGGATAGTGTGTAATATGTACAAAGCATTTGGATGGATAAATGAGACTTGTATTACAGTGCACTGTTTTCTGTGGAGGCATGGAAGAAAAACAAAGTTTGCTTCACAAATTCGAGGTAACATGGCTTGACTGATACACAAATGATCACTTTGTGGATGAAGTATGCCTTTAGAGTTGCTGTGAGCTGTAAATTCACCACTTCTAAGCAGAAGGACAAAGATAACATTATCTCAGAGCCTGACTTCAAAGCCTCTCTTCCTCTGGGCAGCTGCGTCCGTCACACTCAGATTCACCCTGGCTCTGAGTCCACGGCTGCCTGTACTAGAGAGCAGCACGAAAGCAAGGAGCGCTTACTGTGGAGCTAAATATGGGGGCTGAAACATTCCCAGAAGTACACAGACTGACACACACAGAAAAAAACACGACTGTTCGACTTGAAGAATTTCAGTTGATTAAGGGGTCCCCAACTGATGATTCGAATTTTTAAATTTCCAGGGGCAACCCTACAAGTTATACCAATTAGAGAGCTGATTTCACCATAAATGAAGTGCTTGTTCCAGACACTTAAAAACATCTATATAAAAGCAGAAAGCTTTATGTTCTCTGTAGCCATTTTAATTGTTAATTTTGAATGCCTGCATGTTTTTTCATATTATTTTTTTACATTCACAACTGAATTTCAATCATTGAGAGGATATCTCATCTAGTGCAGACGCCTAGTGTAAAAGGGTAGAACCGCAATACTTATTTATGATGTCAGTCATTTGAGATTACTCCCCTTGGTCAAATCCCTTCTGGTCGTGTGTGCCCTCTCCACTCCTTTCTGTATTTTTCTCTCCTCTTAATCATATCCCTCCTGGTTGTGCTTGGCTTCTTTCCATCCCCTCCCACCACCCATCCCTCCATCCTGCAATCACCCCTCTGTCACTCCCTTGACCCATCCCTCCCAGTTACATCTCGCCTGATTGACCTCTGTGTGACTTCTCCTTCCTCTCCTGGCAGCCCTCTTTGTTACTTGGCTCTGTCCATCGTTTCAAGCCTCTATGTCTTTCTCCATAACCACTTGGACTGTTCTGGGGACACTTTGTTTAACTGCTTGTGTCTACATCCTGTTCATATTTCAGTTAAAGTATTCTGTAATACATCAGGCAGAGTGCATTACAGTACGAGCACAATAGCATTGATTTGATCAAAGAACGTAGACATATTTATTTGAGCTACAGTAGCTTTCCTCTCTAAAAAGATTTCCTATACAGGAAAGTGCATGGCTTAGCAAAACTGCACTGTAGCTTGACATATTGTGAATTATAGAAACTGTTGTAATTAGCTGCACAATATCTACAGCTAAGGGGACATTCTTTTCTGGGATTAATGATGATGCAGTCGGTATTGCTTCAGCAGCATCAATGTTCCCATAGTCATATAAAAGATTGTATTATCTATGTCTTCCATGCAAAGACTGAAATAATTCATACTGCATCTGAATGTGGGGTGGAACTGTAGCTGATCAGCAATGCAAGCACACTTTGTCCAATCAAGTATCTAATGAGAAACAAGACAGGTTTACTTTTTTTTGTGTGTGATTGTAATTTGACTGAAGTCACTCAACTGAATTGTTTACTTGCTTCACGCATCTCAATTCACATAAATCACTTCAGTAGAAATACATTTTAACATTTAAACAATTTATTTGTGACTATTTCATAGTGTGTAGCATGTGCTCTAGAAAGATATCATATTTACTGTAATTTTATGCTTTGCACCCTCAGCCCACATCTCCCTTCTTAACCCCTGTTCTTTTTTTTACTTGTTACTTGCAATCACTGATCCATCAGTGCAGGGGTCTGGGCCATTAAATGGTGCGTCCCGCTGTTCAACATGGAATGTCACATACAAGTGTCCCATAATGACATCAGCGCACTGATTTACGCCACTGCTACAGCGGTCAGTTAGTCACGCACGCACTGCTGGGCCTTCTGTGTATGACCAAGAGGCAGAACGTGAGAAAAACCTCGAAGTCAGAGGGAAGAGAAAGAGAGATGGGAAAAAGAGGCACGATGTACGCGTGTGTATGTGTGTGTGGAAACACAGATGACAGACAGGAATGCTGAAAAGCTGCCAGCGACAAAATCTTCAGCAGTGATGACAGCAGTTTGAGTATCTGTCCACAGCAGGATGATGGATCGGTCTTATTGCAGCTGAGGGATCTCTTCCTCTAGGCCCTATTTTAATGCCACAAGTGCATCGGCCAGCACAAACTTGTGGGTTTTGGGTGCATGGACTTCCACGTGCTCATGCTGTTTTGGTTTATTCTGGTGCAGCATTGTGTAAAAAGGCAAGGCTTAACAAATGAAGAAACAACTTGTTATGAAAACAGCGTTAAATTAGACTTATTTTCTATCACTGAAATGTCAGCGATGTGCTCTTCAAATTTAAGCCTCTAATAATCTGATCTAATGCAGTTTGTGCAGTCAGTGATTCAAATAATTCAGTAATGTTTTTTAGCTTTGAGCTCAGGGGCAAGGCGTATAATCCAAGCTGCAAGGTGGCAAGGTAAAAGTCAAATACTGTCAAACATTTCACATTAGAACCCTCAAAGTAATGAACAGATAACCAAAAATGGATTGCACCATGGCAACGCTATTCTTTTTCTGCTGAACTGGTTGAATTAGAAAGTAAAGAACCATGCCCTAACTGAACCCAGCATTTTCAAAGAGCCCCATAGCACAATCTCTTTACATCACTTGAACTAGAAATACATTAAGAGTCTACAGCCATGCTAGCAGCAGCATGCTAATGTGCCTACAATTACAAAGGTGTTAAAAGCTGCCATTTGCTAATTAGCAACAAGCCATCGAGGAACAGCACCAGGCATTGAAGACCATTTTACACAACGGCCCAACCGTGGATCCGTCACAGGATGCCATTGGGCAACATCAAATGACATTTTTAAAGTCTAGAAGAGCAACATGATTACATTTTTTTTATCCCCATTCAAATTAGCGGAAAGCTAAACCTGAACCTGTGCTCAGCCGGTGAAAGTCTGTAGTATGCTTGCTTTGTGGGAGCAACAATGCAGGAGATGTGGGTAATTTTTTTAACTGTTTTAGCTTCATGCGCCATTGAGCCATCAAAATCCTCTCTGTAAAGACTGAGCTGAGCACCATTATGATGATTAATGCAATGCTCAATGGAGAGATCAATGTCAATGTGCATGACAAAACTGTCAGAAATAGACTCCATGAGGGTGGCATGAGGGCCAGACGTCCTTTAGGGGGACCTGTGCTCATAGCCCAGTACCATTGAGCTGCATGGTGCTGGGAACACCATAAGTGGCAGGTCCACCACTGGTGCCTTGTTCTCTTCACAGATGAGAGCAGGTTCACACTGAGCACATGTGACAGGTGTGAAGAGTCTGGAGATGCCGTGGTGAACGTTATGCTGCCTGTAACATCATCCAGCATGACCGGTTTGGCAGTGGGTCAGTGATGGTCTGGGGAGGTACATCCTTGGAGGGTCGCACAGACCTTTATGTCATAGCCAACAGTACCCTGATTGCTGTTAGGTACCTGTATGAAACCCTCAGAGTGACTGTCAGACCCTAGGTTCTTCCTGGTGCAGGACAATGCCCGGCCTCATGTGACCAGAGTGTGCAGGCAGTTCCTGGATAACGAAGGCATTGATGCCATTGACTGGCTCTCTCATTCCCCTGACCTCAATCCAATTCAGCATTTATGTGACATTATGTATTGGTGTATCTGACACTGCCAAGTATTGCCACAGACTGTCCAGGAGCTCACTGATGCCCTGATCCAGGTCTGGGAGGATGTCCCACAGGACACCATCCACCAACTCATCAGGAGCACGCCCAGATGTTGTTAAGCAGAAACATGGTATCCCTCAATTAAATACCACATTTTGTCCATCTGTCTATCTCAAGTTGGGATATTGGTCTATCTATCACTGCTTATCCACCTGCCTGTCTTTCTAGCATCCTTTGTCCTCCCAGCTGTCCCTCATGAGCTTCTGTAAACATTTGTGGGA